TCTCTGGACTAGTTACCAAGGAGCCAAATCAGTCTTGGGGTACCTGTGGTTCCCCCACCACCTGGATCAAGGAATCCACTAAGGACAGGGGGAAGAAGGGCCCACACACAAACAAAAATCCACACAATTTATTATTTTTTTAAAAGGCTAAACAGAAAACATTCCATGGACATATTTTTAATTTTTAATAAGACATTCATAATTTACAAATAAAGAGTAGAGAGCATGACCATCTTTTCAGTTAATAAAATGAAAGATGGAGCCCATATGCTTCAGTCTGATGAGAGAGGAGGAGGAGATTTCCTCTTTGGGAAGAGAGAGAGAGAAGACAGACGGACGCACAAAGAGGGATGGAGGAAGCCTCCGTGAGGATCCACAAATCCGGGGAAGGACCTGACCTGTTGCCCCGGCTCCTGGGCCCCCTGCGCAGGTCACCCTGCAGCACTGTCTGGGCAGGGGAGGGGTGGGGACAGCAGCCATTCCAAATGGTTTTCGATACCCTGAGCTTCTTAATAATACATTCGCAAGATTTAAAAACTGAAAAGGTTTACAATAAAAAGTGCACTGAAAACTATAAACATCACTGAGAGACAGTAAAGAAGACTCAAGTAAATGGAGAGAAATGTTGTGGGCAGAATACTCCATGTTGTTAGGATGTCAATTCTCCCCAAACTGATTTATAGATTCAATGTGATTCCAATTGAAATCTCAGAAGGCTTTTTATTTTGGTAGAAATTGACAAGCTGATTTTAAAACTCCTATGGCAATGCAGAGGGCCCAGCATGGCCCCAGTGACTGGAAAGGAAGGATGACATTTGAGGACAAACACTCCCTAACTTCAAGGTGTGTTGGAAAGCTACAGCAATCAAAACAGAATGGCACATGCCGGGCACGGTGGCTCACGCCTGTAATCCTAGCACTCTGGAAGGCCGAGGCGGGTGGATCACTCGAGGTCAGGAGTTCGAAACCAGCCTGAGCAAGAGTGAGACCCCGACTCTACTAAAAATGGAAACAAATTAATTGGCCAACTAAAAATATATTTAAAAAAAAATTACCAGGGCATGGTGGTGCATGCCTGTAGTCCCAGCTACTCAGGAGGCTGAGGCAGGAGGATCGCTTGAGGCTAGGAGTTTGAGGTTGCTGTGAGCTAGGCTAACGCCATGGCACTCTAGCCCAGGCTACAGAGTGAAACGCTGTCTCAAAAAAAAAGAAAACAAAAAAAACCCAGAGTGGTACTGTGTAAAGACTGACAAGTGAATCAATGGGACCGACAAGTGAATCAATAAGACAGAATCAGGACTCCAGAAATAAACCCACAAATATGTGGACAACTGATTTTCGACAAAGGTACAAAGGCAATTCACAGAAATGGTGCTGGAACAATTAGACATCTTTATGCAGAAAAAAAAAAGAACATTGGTCCATATCTTGCATCCCATACAAAAGTTAACTCAAAATAGATAACAAATCTAAATGTAAAAATATGGGGGTAAATCTTTGTGAACTTGGGTTAGGCAAAGCTTTCTTAGATGCAGCACCAAAAGAATGATCTAAAAACTAAAAATCGATAAGTTACACCTCATTTATTAAAATTAAAACTTCATCTTATCAAGAGACATTGTTGCCCTGGCGCAGTGGCTCACACCTGTAATCCTAGCACTCTGGGAGACCGAGGCGGGTGGATTGCTCAAGGTCAGGAGTTCGGTGGATTGCTCAAGGTCAGGAGTTCGAAAAGACATTGTTAAGGGGATAAAAAGATATGCCACGAACTGGGAGAAAATATTTGCAAATATTTTATAGAGGACTTGGATCTAGAATATGATACTAAGAAAACAAACAACCTAATTAAAAATTAACCAAAAGATATTAACTGACACATAGTTGGCAAATAAGCACATGAAAATATGTTTAATATCATTGCTCATTAGGAAAATCCAAATTGAAACCATAATAAGATATCACTACTCCCACCACTAGAAAGGCTAAAATTAAAGCCTGAGCTGTCAAGTGTTGAGGATGTGGAACAACTGGAACTCACAGAGATTGGGGGTGGGAATGTCAAATGGCATAACCAGTTTGGAAAATAGTTTGGCAGTTTCTTAAAACATTAAACATGTACCATCATTTCTCGGCCTTTTGGCTAAGATCAAGTGTAGTAAACATATACCCACCATATAACCCGGCCACTCTATTCCTAGGTATTTACCCAAGAGAAGTGAAAGTCATGTCCAGACAAAGGTTTGTTCATAGCTGCTTTATCTGCATTAGCCCCCAACTGGAAACAACCCAAATGTCCCTCAATAGGTAAATGGAATTGTGGTATATTCACACAATGGAATGCTGCAGCAATAGAAAGGAATGAAGTATTGCTATATACAGTAACATGAAGGAATCTCAAAGTAATTTTGCTGATTGAAAGAAGACAGGCCAAAACAAATTATAATAATAATAAAAGAGTACATATTAGACCAGGTGCGGTGGCTCACGCCTATAATCCTAGCACTCTGGGAGGCGGAGGCAGGAGGATCATTTGAGCTCAGGAGTTCTAGACCAGCCTGAGCATGAGCGAGACCCCGGCTCTACTAAAAACATAGAAAGAAATTAGCTGAACAACTATATATAAAATTAGCCTGGCATGGTGGCACATGCCTGTAGTCCCAGCTACTCGGGAGGCTGAGGCAGGAGGATGGCTTGAGCCAAGAGTTTGAGGTCGCTGTGAGCTAGGCTGACGCCACGGCACTCTAGCCTGGGCAACAGAGTGAGACTATGTCTCAAAAAAAAACAACATTTTTTTTTCATGGAGATGAGGTCTCACTGTGTTAACCCAGGCTGGTCTGGAACTCCTGGGCTCAAGTGATCCTCCCCCTCCCAGCTCAGCCTCCCTAAGTTCAGGAACTATAGGCATGAGCCCACATCTAGCCATGATTCTTTTTTTTCTTCTTCTTCTTTTTTTTTTTTTTTTTTGGCAAAGCAGACCTTTTTTCCATAGAGTACAATTTATCAATCTGGAATTGATTCTGGTACATGGTGTGAATTGTGGGGTATATTTTTTCTGCTTTTTTTTAATATTTATTTTTGAAATGCAGCTCTATTTTTTCATGGTATTCTACAAGTATTAGAATTGTGTGTAAAACAATTACTGTTTTAGAAGTAATTTAGAGCTTGGAGCCGTGGGGTCTGGGCATTCATCACTGTTGCTTGAATATCACTTTGAGATGCAAAAGTTGCTTACTCTACAACTCCTAAAAGTTACATTGAAGCCAAAATCTATTTAGTTACTCATGGTGTTCCCTTTTTTTTCCCCCACTCAAATAAAAATTTGGTAGATGGGTGGGGGAAAGTTCCAGTAGGAAGATAGCTTATAGTGGATAATGGGGAACACAAAACAGCAACAAAAAATGAGGGCACTCCAGGCAGGGAGCATCGCTGGCGAAGGCACAAATGTTACCAGAAATTTGGCACTTGTCCCTGAGCCCGCATCAGAAGAACAAGGACAAGTGGCTTGAGGGGAAGGAAAAAGAGAAGTTTATTGATAAGGAAAGAGAAGTTTGGCAGACTCACTTCTCAAAGTACCAAAGTCCTGCTTCCGAGCAGTACTGAGTTTTAAAGGTTCTGATCAATCCTATCTTCGGCTAAAACAATCTCATGACCTCCGCCCAGATTAATCCCATCTTCGGCTACAATGATCTCATGACCTCCGCCCTGACAATTCCCTGGAGCCATCTCCCGTGGCACAAAGGACAAAAGCCATTCCCCTGCCCCTCCGGACCCCTGGCCTGAGGCAGGGATGCAGGTCCTAGTTCCCAAAAAGGAGTGCGGGATGTTTTAGTGAGACATGAAACAATTTGCCATTTTTTCGAGCCATTTCTTCTGTTACATATTCCACCCCCTGTCAGTATTACCTTTCCAAAACTATGGGAGGAGGGGCGACTACTCTGTTACACAAACACATGAAGCGTTCTGGGAACTAGAAATTCTGTCAACCAGATTGTAGGGGCCAGGAAGGCAGTGGTGAAAGACCGGGCTGGAAACGTGAGCAAGGGCTGAATTTTGGAGGGTTGTAAATAGACTTTTTACGGAGGGCAGTGGGGAGCCATTACAAGGCTTCAAACAGGGAGGTGAAAGGAATTGATTTCTGTCTTAGAAAGCTCCCCGTGCCCCAGTATAGCACACATATGTTTGGGGGTGCAGGAGGTGTGGACACCTCATGGGGCTACTTATCTCCAAAACCCACTGGGGAGGCCAGGAGAGCCTCCCAGGTCCACTGAGTTCCAAGTTCAGCAGGTCTCTCTGGCAGACTTTGTGATATGGGGGAAGAGTCAGCCCAAGAAAGTTAGGGGACCCAGATTAACGCTGAGTGGAAAGAGCCCCCTTTTGGGGGGAGCACAGGAAAAGCAGAGGGATCCTGCTGGGTGTCCAGGGAGAGAAGCCCTGTGGGTGGAGGCAGAGTGGAACCCCGCACCCCACTTGAGAAGGGCCCCCCAAGCCCAGGCGGGACGGAAGGGTCAAGAACGCTGAGGTAAATGTCACTCATACCTTGTTTTTTCCCTAAAGAAACTAAACAAAGCGACTATTGCACTCGGTGGCCCCTCAGGAAGGCCAGTCATTTCCTGAGGAGATATCGGGCCAGCCCAGGCCTCATTGTTCCTGGTTTCCAGCAATGGCCGCCATTACCTGACCTGGGACACAGCCGGTCTCTCTGCAGCTGCCTGGGGAAGTTACCAGAGTGGTTTCTGCTTTTCACAGGGCAGTTTTCTTATCTGCGGCCGGCTGTGTGGGAAGCGCCTTCTGCCTAAGAGGCATGGCCCGAAGGCAGAACTAAGTGTCCCTGGCAGTCTCCGTAGCTCAGGATGCCGCCGGGGTGGGCCCGAGGGGGCAAGATGCAGCTCGGAGTCCTGCTGACACTCCTGCTCTGTGAGTTTTTACTCTCTTCCCACCTCACTCTGACTCTCTGAGAATCGGAGCTTCTGAGTTCAACGTATTTCTTCTGTCTCTTCCAGGTTCAAGCCTTGAGGGTCAGGAAAACTGTAAGTCTGATGTTTCTACTGTAAAGCTCATTCTTTATTTTCTGTGATTCTTAAAACGCGTGTTAAATCGTTTGGGTTTGATGTTTGAAACAATTGAAAAAGACATTCCAATTGAGAACTAAAAGTTTATTCCATTTTGACATTTTTAGAAGAGCTTAGAAAAAAACCCCTTATTCTAAGCCAAGTTCTTTTCCTTCTTCTTCTTTTTTTTTAGGAACAGGGTCTTGCCCTGTCACTCAGAGGAGTGCAGTGATGTGATCATAGCTCACTGCAGACTTGAACTCTTGGGCTTAAGCCATCCTCTATCCTTGTACTTTAGCCTTCAGCCTCTCGAGTACCTGGGACTATAGGCTGGCACCACCACACCCAGCTAATTTTTAAAAATCTTTTTGCACGGTTGGGATCTCACTAGGTTGCCCCAAGTGATCCTCCTGCCATGGCCTCCCAAAGTGATGGGATTATAGGCATGAGCCACCACACCCAGCCTAAACCAAACTCTAATCAGCATGTTTTAGAGATAGCATATGTTTTCTAGACCCCAGTGAATTGTTGTTGGCTAAGATTGGGGAGGGGATAAGAAATGAGTGATTACGTAATTTTTTATTGTTCTACCATCACTACTTCTTTTCATAGCCTAACCTATTCCCAACTGTTTTTATTTACAAATGAAATATAATCAATTTGTCAGACACAAGAAGACAGACCATAGTTTAAATTGTTGCTACAACTATTTTTTCTCCTAAATGATCAAAAACATATACTAGGTCTCATTTCCCATGTGCCTGTGAGGATATGATTAAATCTGCAATCTTTTGTGCTCCCACACAGGGAAGGGGCGGGTGTGCTGCCTATCTTTGCAGTCTGGTTTATGGTCCAGTTAAGAGCTGATTTTGTGGGCCAGGCGCCGTGGCTCACGCCTGTAATCCTAGCACTCTGAGAGGCTGAGGCGGGAGGATCGCTCAAGGTCAGGAGTTCGAGACCAGCCTGGTGCACCATCTCTATTAAAAACAGAAAGAAATTAATTGGTTAACTAAAAATATATAGACAAAATATTAGCCGGGCATGGTGGCACATGCCTGTAGTCCCAGTTACTTGGGAGGCTGAGGCAGAAGGATCGCTTGAGCACAGGAGTTTGAGGTTGCTGTGAGCTAGGCTGACGCCACAGCGCTCTAGTCTGGGCAACAGAGTCAGACTCTGTCTCAAAAAAAAAAAAAAAAAAGCTGATTTTGTGCCGGCACCGTGGCTCACGCCTATAATCCTAGCACTCTTGGAGGCCTAAGCAGGAAGATCAATAGAGGTCAGGAGTTCGAGACCAGCCTGAGCAAGAGTGAGACCCTGTCTCTACTAAAAAATAGAAATAAATTAGCTGGACAACTTAAAATATGTAAAAAAAAAAAAATTAGCCGGGCATGGTGGTGCATGCCTGTAGTCCCAGCTACTCGGGAGGCTGTGGCAGGAGGATCACCTGAGCCCAGGAGATTGAGGTTGCTGTAAGCTAGGCTGACAACACAACACTCTAGCCCATGCAACAGAGCAAGACTCTGTCTCTAAAAAAAAAAAGAGCTGATTTTGAACCTTTGTCTTGAGATAAGAGGGTTTTGTTCTGCTTCATCTGGGCCCACATGAATGCAGGGGCTCAGTTGGGTCTGGGGGCTGGGAAAGGAGGGAGAGACCACAGAATACTCACTATATCCCCTTGTCAGAAGTCACTTCAATCGGCAAAGAACGGGAGTGAGTGGGTTGCAGGCAAATTGCACAGTTCTTTGGCAGTGAGTCCCCGGGCAATGCTCGATGGTTGAGCTGAGTCTCAGGGCAGTGCTGGGTGGGGTAGGCTAGTTGGCTACTGGCACAGCCGGTCTGCCAGGCTTCTCTGCCCAGTGCTTCCTTGGGCATCAGATTCCCATGGAGGCAGGACACCTGGTATCTTCATGATCATCCTGCTTGACTGATGGTATTGCTGAGATCTGAAGTAACTGGCTTTACCATGCACGTGGGCCAGTTATCGGGGCATCAGCCCTAGAACCTCTATTCTCTGAGCGGAGACCCGACCATCTGTCTGGAGCCATGGCCCCGATCTAGTCCTCAAGACCAGTTTCCTTTTTTTTTTTTTTTTTTTTGAGACAGATTCTCACTTTGTTGCCCAGGCTAGAGTGAGTGCGTGGCATCAGCCTAGCTCACAGCAACCTCCATCTCCTGGGCTCAAGCGATTCTACTGCCTCAGCCTCCTGAGTAGCTGGGACTACAGGCATGCGCCACCATGCCTGGCTGATTTTTTTGTATATATATTTTTAGTTGGTCAATTAATTTATTTCTATTTTTAGTAGAGAAGGGGTCTCGCTCAGGCTGGTTTCGAACTCCTGACCTCGAGCAATCCGCCCGCCTCGGCCTCCCAGAGTGCTAGGATTACAGGCGTGAGCCACCGTGCCCGGCCAAGACCAGTTTCCTTTGCCTCTTTGAGCTTTCCCACCAATTTTCCCAATCTGTAAAATGGGGAGGAAAACAGAACCTATGGCAGGGAGTGGTGTGAGGCTGAGACTGGGTAAAGAAGGTGACTCACCTACTGGGCGTGCAGGGACAGATAAATGATACTGATGTTTACTATAGGGTCCCAGCCCACCTTGGCAATCACAGCTCCTACACCACCCACTCTCCCTCTGTCCTCTCCAACCTGTGTGCCCCCAGCTCTTGCCCAGACCCCACACCCCATCCTGCAGACACCCCCTGCCTTGGGGCTCCTGCTCCTCTGGCTCTGACCTCCCGTTTCCTAGAAAGGACTTGAAGCAGGGAGAGAAGGCTGCCTCCTCAGGCCCCTGCCTAGTTTTACCCTCAGGGAAACTGAGACTCGTAGGCCACAAGGCGCAGTGCAGGGCCAACACGGGTTCGCAGAGGGGCTGGGACCAGGTCTCCCCCCTCGGGCCCCCCCAGACGGGCGTTTGCGGTGCATGGCCTGCCAGCATGCTCTGTGTCCCTACTCTGAGCCTGCGGCTGAGGTCCTCGACCAGCCTTGGCCCTCTCCCTTCCTCCTAGCCCGGGACTCCTCGGCCCCTCAACCTTCCCCCAGCCGCAGCCCCACCCCCGTCCTCAGGAGATGACCTCAGCTCCGTCTTCACCTAGAAAACAGTCCGTCTGGAGGGAACTCCCTCAACTTCCCGCCTGGGCCTGGCTCCAGGCTTATCTGCCTCCCCACCCATCCTCCCAGGGTCTCCGCAGGCTGCAGAGGGACGTCCACCCGAGGCTGATCAGGGCTGCCGGGCAGCTGGGCTCTGAGCCCGTCCCTCCCCCACCGCGGCTTTCAGACTCTCCAGCCCCACTTCCAGTGCTTTCCCTCAGGCTGCAAGCATGGTCCGTAACTCTTGCTTTTTTAGGAGAAAGAAAAAATCCAACAACCCACCCCCTCCATTTATGTCGTGTCCCCCTATCTAGCCATGTCCTTTCTCAGGTGAACGTCTCCACAGGCCAGTTCGTAATCGCGGTACTTCTTCACCTCTCAGTCCTCACCTGATAGCAGCCTGGCTCATCCCTCCAACCCCCCAACCCCCTGCCATCGGGTCTCCTCTCACTCAGGGGCCACCAAGGAGCACCTGGTGCCAAATGCAAGGAACACGTAGGGCCCTTGGCTCACTAGACCCCTTTGCTGCCCCAGACTGTGGGTCACGCCCCGAAGCCTCCTTTCTTGACCTTCTAGATCCTCTTCCCCAGGGAGACTTTGACTTTCTCCTGTGTCTGAACCCCACCTCTGGTCTCTGCAGGCTCCTGATCGTATCCTCTCTGGAGCCCAACACCCCCTCTACACCTCCACAGGCCCCTCCCCAAAGCCACATCTCCCACCCAGATCCAGCCCTGGCCTCTGCCCTGGGCCTCAGCCGTACGTGTACGTAACCTGGGGCCAGACCTTGATGTCTCCTCCCAGTGTCCTACAGGCCCCTCAAACCCAGCTGCACCTCTGGGACTTTGTCTTCCTCCCTTGTCTTTTTCTGGCACTTTCTAATTTAGTTGGTGGCACCCACATCCTCCTGGGAACCTAATCCAGGAACCTTATCTTCCATTCTTTCAATCTCATATCCAATCAAACAGGTCTGATTTTTTTTTTATTGTGGTAAAATACGAATAATATAATATTTATTATTAGTGACAGTACATTCACAGCGTTGTGCAACCGTCACCATTGCCCAGCTCTAGAACATTTTCATCAGCCCCAGAACTGAGTCCTTTTGAGTCCACTCAAGCAAGCATCTCCGGTGTGTTCCTTCCCCGATCTCCGCTGGGCGCGACCCTCCTAGCTCAGGCCTCAGCTTTCACTGGAACCGGCCCAGGCTGTTTACTGGCCTCAGTCTCTCCCCCGGCTGCAGTGATGTCTCTAACACTCCTGTCCTGTGCTGTCACGCCCCTCCTGGAGACTCTCGGGACAGGCCCCCACTGGTCAGCACGAGGCCCTCATTCTGGCACTGCAGACCGGGCCCCTGGCCTCTTCGGCCCCACACTCCGGTTCCCATAATGGGCCGAGGCCGGAATGCACTGATTTCCCATGCCCCTGTGCCCTGGTACACGCTGTTCTCGTGCCCGCAGCACCCGGCTGCCTGTCCCCGGCCTGGCAGGCTCGGTTCAGGGGTCATTTCCCTTCAGACTTTCCTTGACCTCTCCTGGGCAGCCCTCCCCCTTGGCCTCACGGCTACCACGGGAGTCCAGCCGTCTGGGTCCCACCAGCCTGAACTGTCCTGGACGGCAGGGATGATTCGTTGGCCTAGCCCCCGACACGGGTGCGTGATACACGTCTCACTGATGCAAACCTGAGCTGAACGTGGAAGGGCTTGAGACTCAGACGAGAAGACAGGTCAGCACGCTCTCTGCTGAGCGCAGACGTTCAGCAGGGATGCCATGTTTCTCGGCTCCCTGTAATTTTCCTGACAGCGCTGGGTGGCCCCCTGCCTGCTCTTCTCTCTGAGTCATTTCCGGGTTGAGGGCCAGGTGGCTGGCTGAGTCACGGTGCTCTATCTTTCCAG